CTGGGCTCGGCCACCCAACCAGTTTTTTACCCAGCGAAGAAATGTGTCAATATGAGTAGAATTTTAAAGATTATTTTATATTTAATGGTTTATTTCATTTTTAATAGCTCCCAAACACACTGCTGCTTACCTTAGCTTTCTGGAACAAGTCTGATTTACAGACATCCTCTTCTTTAAATATACCAGTGTAGCAATAGCAACCAAGAATACCAATGAAGAGACTGACACATCGGACAAGGTGTTCTGCAGCAACAACCTTAGACTAAATCAAATACACAGTGTACATATGAGTGGTTTATCATTAAATCTTTTCACCAAAGTACAGAATTCTTTAGTCTTTTTTAAACACTTTTGTATACAGATTTCACCAAAATCAAGGAAGATTTGCATCCTAGTGTTTTGCCTTGCAGTTGCCTCAGCTCCCTAACATGTCCTTTTGGCTCTCCATGTTATAATATTCTCTGTACATCCCACAGCCCCTATGCTTCCTTCCTTCACAAAACTTTAAAATCTCCCTCTCCTTTAGATTCCATCATAGCAATACTTAGAGCTCTTCCCACGTGCTCTGTTTATCTATTTTACCTCCTGCCAGGACGAGACAGTATGAGCTAGTCAGGAACTGTATCACATTCCTACTGCTGTCTCTTCCCATCTTAGTAAATTCCTAAGTTGCTTCTTAGTAGCTACTGTGTCAACAAACAAATGGCACACGTGGTTATAAATGCATGCAAGCTTACTGCAGGAGTATTCTAGAGATCCCTTTTTACCTGCCTAAATTATTTGGATCAAAAGAAGAGAAAGAGGACACAAATAATTATTTGTCTTACTTTCTCAGGAAGGGAGACCAAAAAGGATTGCCATCACATTCTTGAAAAGCAGGTATTTATAAAAAAAGATGGGAAAACTTATGCATACATACGTACATGTAACCATTGTTACACATGCAAAACCAGGGATAAGTTTATAGCTCCTAGTTGCCAGTACCTTGTTTCAAACTTGGGTACTGCCTCTTTCGGCTCACCAACTATTACAGGACCTTAGCAGTGAATTGCAAGGAAGGCACACCACTATATAAAAACCAAAGCTAGCCTGTGAAAGGAACCAGAAGTTTAAAAAGCCTATTGCTTTTGTTTTCACAAACTTTTTACCATTATGTGGTGGCTCTTCCTCTACAAGTTGAAGATTTTTTCCAAAGGAGAGAATCTGTGGTGTTTCAACAAGTGGAAGATACAAATAGGATCACACGACAATTCAGGCTGGAAGGGACCTCAGCAGGTCTCTGGTCCAACCTCCTGCTCACAGCAGGGTCAGCTCTGAGGTCAGAACAGGTTACTCAAGGCTTGATCCAGTCAGGGCTTGAAAACCTCCAAGGATGAAGACTGCACAACCTCTCAGGCAGGGCAACCTGTGCCACTGCCTGACTGTCCTCATATAGATAAAATTCTCCTTGTATCCAGCATGAACTTCTCCTGACTCTGCCTGCTGTCTCTCATCTTCCTGCAATACACCACTGTGAAGAGCCTGGCTCTGTCTTATAGACAATCTTATAGGCACTGGCAGGCTCCCACAAATCCTGTTAGGTCGCCCCAAAGCCACCTCTGCTCCAGGCTGAACAGGCCCAGTTTCCTCTGTGCCTCCTCACAGGTCAAGTGCTGGAGCCCCTGCCATCTCAGTGGCCTCCACTGAATGCACTAAATGTCTGTCTTGTACTGAGAGGCCCAAAAGTGGATGCAGTATTTCAGATGCTGTCTAAAGGCACTGAGTAGAGGGGGATAACCAGTTCCCTTGAGCACGGGCTGTGCTCTTGTTAACACAGCCTGTATTTGCAGCTTTCTTTACAATTACTCCTTTACACAGATGCCTCTTTTTACAAAACCTAACTATTTGACACCTCTGTGCCTCAGGCTATCTTGGCTGAAAACTGGTAAGAGCCTAAAGCGTTACAGGGGCACAGAAGTTGAAAGTAACATCACAAAAAGCAGGGTAACAGTGGTTTATGTGGCAACTTTGCACACACTTCCACTTCTATACAGCTTCCGCGTATTCCCACATACTCATGAAAACTATGGATACTTTGCAAATGACGTAAAGAAACACAGACTTCTCTGTTTCGTATTATTTGATATAGTTTTTAAAATGCTTGCAGTTCATTTTTAGTGGCAAAAGGAATGAAAATCTATACAAGGCGTACTTTGCCTTGAAAATATATTGTTTGGGAGCACAAATATAAGGACATAACAGTAATTTCTAACCTACCTTAGGAGCATAGCTGCTTAAAAGCTTTTCTGACATTGCTAAAAGACAGTACTCCAGTGCTTCCCTAAGATTTTGGTCGATGGCAAATCTTGAACCAGTCACATTTTTATCTGCAACATTTACTGCAAAGTTAGTGAAAATATCCATTTCATCAAATGTTGTCTGCAGATACAGCTCTTCAACATCAGAAAAATTGTTTTCTTCTTTCCCTTGCAAGTGCTGCACACTTGAAGAAGAGACATAATTTTTACTTTAGCAGCCAGTATACAACTTACAAGTCTTTAAAACAACTATTTAAATGCAAGAAATAAACAAAAGCAAAATAAAATATTTTATCCTTTTGTGTTTCCAAACTCTTCAATTTCTGAGGTAACTTCCATTGTGGAATGGATACCATCATTTTAACTCTGTCTGAAGAAACTGCAAGGAAAAATGAAGCCTGAACACACACCATATGTTCTACTGTAGTTCATATAGCAGCATCTGTTTTCTGTAAGATGGCTGACCTCAACCAACTTTACACAATTGGAGCAGAAATTCACAAAACCCCTGAAACAAGTATTTTTAACTTCTAGTAGGAAAGTCTTGTCTTCCATCAGAAGTTACAGACATTTTAGTTTCATTAAGAGGAAACTGGACATAGTTCAAGAGCTTGAACATATGCATCAGTGAAAGATGCAACAGCCTTCGCAGAGTGACTTCAACAGACTCAATTAACGTGGCTGGGGCCACAAATACAGGTGGAGTGGCATGAGGACATATGGACATATGGACAGTAAGCATCTAGCCAACTTTCTACTTAGCATCTATCTTCAAGAAAACTCTTAAGACATTTGCTCGCTTTAGAATGGAAGGTAATGTTAAAAAGCATGAATACATATATAAAGTTACAAATTATTAAAAAAAAATGTAATTGTAATGAGTTAAAAATACCTAATGTACTAATGGATAAAGACCCAAATATTCAGCTGTATTGCTGAAGAGATGATACGCATATTCCTTATAAGGCATTTTGTTCAGTACCTGAGGCTTTGTTCAGTACACTGTCAGCAAGAGACTATTTTAACCTCTCCTTAAAGCATCCTAACAAATTGCAAAAGCACTATTATTTTTATGGGGTCTGAAAGATGTACAGAAAGATGCGAAAGAGCTTGAGGAATTATGCATTTCATTATCTCTGCTTGCTAAAATGACAAATATAAGAAGCTTCAGTATCTATGATTGATTTAAAAACATACCATTTAACGTCATTTTGGAAAAAAATCATGGCAGCTCTACAGTTCTTCATTGTAAGGCTCACAAGAATTTTTTGTAATGTAAGATGAGGAAAATCACTGTAAAAAAAAAAAATTGTTTTGTATTTTCTTGCAGTCAGACAAGCTCTTGGGATTCCTGCAGCGCACCCAAACATTAAACAGATTAACAGTGTATCTTCAAAGAAGCTTAATTTTTCATTTAAGATTTCTAACACGTAGTTCATGTATCTGCTGTGCTACGGACAGATAACTAAATTATGTCCCCAGAATGACATTCTACAGTAAGCTTAAAACCCCTATAAACTCTACCAAAGCATTAACATGATACAAATCTGAAAATCCACTCTCCTCTTTGCAACTGTGTTACACTGTGAGCTTACACATAAAATTATGCCACAAACACTTTACCTGCAGAGTACAGGAGGCAACTCTGCACACTCCTCCATTTCTTCCTCCAAATGGCAGGACAGTGCCCATTTCATTATTGCCTCCTTTAACACAGAATCCAGATTTCTTTCACAATTATTCTGTTCCATTCCTACATCCAAATTTTCTGGCACTGAATAGGCAGACATCACTAATGATAAACAACATACAGCAGAACTGTAACAAAAATGGAACACAGGGTATTTGTGAGAAAAAATGTGTTATTTGTTGATCAGCGCTCTAAAGCAGTCAGTATTTCTGCATGCTCAGGGAGCATCAAGTACCTAAGCAAGTTAATAAGCACACATACTGGAAAACTGCTTTATTAGAATCTTTGCCTTTTCAAATGCCACATTTTGGCTATCACAGACATTTCCCATCTATTTTAAAGACTGTTTCAGAATACTTATTTCAGAATCAAAATATATTTAGAAGAAAACATACTTTTTAGCTTCAAAAAAATCAACATCTCTTTCAGTCAGATTTTAAATTTTTAGTCCATTTCATATTTTTAGTGAATTTTAAATTTGAAGATGCTTGCCTCTCCTCTTCTGCCTCTGCTTTCAGACTTATGTATGTATTCATACCCATTTCAAATGCTTAAAACACAAACGTGGGCAGTTCTTAACTAGAAATATGGCCACAACAACAATAATATTATTTTGAATAATACAGTGGTTTTGGTTGCACGGTAAGGAGCAATGTGAATCAGACACAAAATATTACCCTTGCTTTCCATTTTACCTTGAAGGCTTGCATGCAGTTCCTGAAAATATCTTCCAGAGTTCTTTATCTGTTACAACAAGGTTTCCTTGAATCATAGCTCCAAGTAGCCCAAAGCTCTCCACTTCAATTTGCTGAAAACTTACACTACGAATGGTAAGAGACCAAATCTTTGCCCAGGTTCTCTGGAGCTCCAACTTCTGGGTGCTTTTCAAATCATTTTTCTGGTTTTGACACAAAGCTACCTCTGTAAGACACTTCAGCACATACGGGGTCCTTTCGCCTCGGCGCTGCTGAGGCAGTAACTGGTGAAGTACATTGAGTAAGGGAGGTAGCTCACTGTTAGGAAGACTCATGGGATACTTTGATATTAATTGAGCTGTAATCTGTAACCTTGAAAACACAAAGTGAAGCAATTCATATAAAATATAAATTTGTGTCTTCAAAAGTAAATGAACAAACAAAGCGTTCTCTAATTGTCATTTCACATTTATACTTCCCAGTACTGAGCTGATTTGTTTACTATCAAAGGTTAAAGATTCAGTATTTCTACTGTTTTTACTTGTAAAGTCTGCTCATCTAGCCTTACTATCACTAATAATTTCTTACAAGCTGACTTCACTGATTTCTGATCACAAGGGAAGAAAATTTCAGGAAAAAAATTATTTTTCTTCTTCTTCTGGACCAGCCTGTTACACACTCTAACCCAGAGACTGACCTCAAGGGTGAAATTACATAAGCAGGAAACATTACAACATCATCTCTGCAGGTAAGAAAAATAAAATTTAGCAAATGAACAAAATGTTAAGCTGGGGATGGTAAGTTGGAAGGGTTTTGCTTATAGCAATGGCCGCAACTCTACTCAAATTAGTAAATTACAGTACTCGCAGTATTTCTTGGAGATTGCTACCTCCACACAGAATGGCCTGTTAACTTCTCTAACCGGATCCTAAATAGCCACTTTGCCTCAATACTGCAAGCAATAAATACACGCACACACACACACACACAAACGTGTCGCCCCAGCTCAGGACCCAATTCACAAGCAGCTACACAGTTATGGTATCTTGTACAGCAGTTTCCAAGAAAAGTCAGAAATACAGAGAGGAAGAGTAACAACAAAAAACATCCAGTGTAATCGCTTTTAGCTAAAAAGTCAACATTCTTGGGTTTAGGACTACAACTGGTAAGTTCTGGAAAAGTCTATCTGTAGTCTTTTAACAACAACTTGGCTTCCTGCTATGCTCTCTGCTACTCAGTCCTTCTCCTGTTGCAGTCAGTAGAAGACAATGTGTAGCTATACCTCCAGCTGAGAAGTCTTTCATGTCAAACAAAATAACTCTCAATCAAGGTCCAAGCTAAGATGCTAGGCCTTGCACTTCAATGGTTTTCAGGCCAGGTATTACTGCAAACTGTGTGAACTAGTCCAAAATGGCCAAACTGTTAATGGTTGCTGTCCTATGACACAGCCAGCTTAAGACAGCAGTAAATCTTGCATTAATTTCCTAATACTCACAAGCCAGATCGCACACACACCACTTACATAAAGACTGGTAATATCTAGCACAAAAGACAAGTGAAAATTAGAGGCAGTAATATCTCATACGCTACAACACAGTTTACCAGACCTCCTCTGTTATTTCTTAGGAAACCAAAGACATAAAGTTTTTAAAGCAAGAGTGCCAAGAACACTACTCACTACTTTCCAAATGCTGTGACAATCTAAGCTTAGTGCTTAGTATATAATTACAGCAAGTGCAGACACCTAATTTGAAAGCACAACATATTCAGGAGAACACTTAAATGTAAAAAGATGTCTGTAGTGGTATTTGTTTCATGTGAAGATGTTATTACCAAGGTATGACATCAAAATCCTTCTGGGATCTTTGCAGGTTGTCTCGAATTACCTCCCAGCCTAATTCAATCCTCCTGCGCTTGCTTGGTACTGTTTCATCACTGGACTCTCTTTGTGAAACAGCATATGATTGGGTAATTTCCAGAACTTTGGTATCCTCTGTAAAAATCTTTTATAAAAAGAAATTAAAAAGTACATAAATAAAAAAAAGTAGTATTTACAGGAAAACTGAAATGTCAAACTAAACTGGCCTGTATTTTACTGTGTATAAAGCATCCTAAGAGGCAACCAGAATTATTGTTTATTCTTCACTATAACAGAACCTCTGCTTATAGTCTAATAAGCAACACTAGTGAAACCTAGCATAATTTAGGAGTCCACACATTTCTAAACTGCACAAAAATGACAACTAAACACAACAGAACACAGACAAAAGGTACTAATAGTTCAGTAAATGATTTTGTGGAAATGCGGAAGCCATACTACTTTAAAAAGCAAAACACAGAACACAGTAAATATATAGTCAACTTTATATTCAAATAAAAACGTTACCTGATGACAAATATCAGCCATTAACTCAATCAAATTTTCCCTTACAACAATATTACGTGAGCCTGAAGAATACTTTCCTCTACTACCGATGAGATTTATTTCATTCACCAGCAGATCATATAGGTTATGTAAGATACTTTGCCATTTTGTTGAGTCATATGCACCTGTACATGCAAAACCAATTAAAAGATAACATGTACCACTCAGTTGTTACAATATGTAAACCTACCTAGACAATGCAAAATACAGCCAAAATCAGAGTAAAGAATGCAAAACTTAACAAATGCAGGCCTGCAAAACAAATCTTATAATGGAGAATGAATAAAGGAAAAAAGTGAAAGAAGTTAAGAGAGAATTTAATCAGCATATACAAGTAATCAGGGTAGGAAATAAGTTTCTAATAATTCTTTATCTGACTGTGTCCTGGTTTCGGCTGAGATAGAGTTAATTTTCTTCC